TGATCATTTTTTCATAAATGTAGTCCAAATTGTGGACTTGGCCGGGATTATAAGATACTCCATGTACTCCTCATGTCTAGTTTTCACAAGTACAATTGAATAAGTCAATCACGGAGAAAGTTTAGTGAATGAAAATTAAATAATGTAGATGAAATTGATGCACTTCCATCATGCAAAAGTTAGGGACAATAAAAAAACAAAATTTTGGTATTGTTTGCATGAGCATTGACCCAAATAAACCTTAGATGACTTCTAAATAATAGAATTTGCTCATTGGTTGCGTGAATAAAAAAACCATTATATCTACATGTGTGTTGTTAATTACAATAATATTTTACTTTTTGTAAGTTATTGTTTGGTACTTATGACCATTTATACGGGTCATTATGTTAGTCATGTAAGTTGCCAGATTCAGATTGAGATACGTGATATTGTATTACTGCAGCTTATAGATAGCTATACGGCTATACCAAGCATCTTTAAACTTTAAAGTAAACTGAAAAAATGTAGCAGTACTATCTTGATGGTTAATATATCTCTATTAATTGGTGATGACGAAATAGTATTAGGCTATACGGACTGATTTTTGTCAAATAAAATTTGTGAAGTCAACATGTTTAGGTTAGATCATAAACGAAGTGACATATGAAGGCCACCAAAGTAGATCACTAGAACGGATACCCTCATCTCAATCGGGCGGTAAGCCCCATCTCAATCGGGCATAGCATCCGTCACAGGCTAGAAGTCACTGATGTAAAGATCTATCTTAATCAGGCAAACGGCCGTCACGGATGATTCTATCTCAATCGGGCCCTAAGTAAAGCCCGTCACCGATAGCTTTGACCCAGACGACCAGTCAAACTAGCGCCCGTCACAGATGACCCTTATCTGTGACGGGCATTAACTTGAGTTAATGCCCGTGTGCACTCACGCGGGAAGTTTCCCGGTCGGTCACCCATCCCAAAATTGCTCTAGACCAAGCACACTTAACGTCAAAGTTCTTTAGAGATTGGCTTCCGGAAAAGTAATTGTAACATGTTGTTATGAGTATTCTATTAATCCTATTATGCCCTAGGCCAGGATGTCAAATTAGGGTTATTAAATGATTTCAAATGAAAAAGTCACCAAAACCAAAGTTGTAGAACTCATCGAGGTGCAAAATTTTTATTTTGGTCATTTGTCCATCTGACTCTATTTAAACAATTTGAAATTTGAAATTCAAAGTTTGAAAAGTTCAAATAGAATTTTAGATTAGTGAACGACTTCAACTGAAAAAGTCATCAACAACAAAGTTGTATAACTCATCAAAATCTATAACTTTTATTTTGGTCATTTTTCTATATAACATTTTTTGAACCGTTTGAATTTGAATTTAAAAATATGACAACTTCAAACAACATTTTCAAATACTAAATGATATCAACTGAAAAAGTCATCAACAACAAAGTTGAATAACTCATCAAGATCTAAAACTTTTATTTAGGTCATTTCTTCATACGACAAAGTGATAGTAACATTGTTAACAAAATTGACATATCTCTTATCTGGTTTTATAAACTATAACACATATATGTAAAATTTATGAATAATATTACTAACATTTCGTCAGATGAAGAAATAACAAAAATAAAAGTTTTAGATCTTGATAAGTTATTCAACTTTGTTGTTGATGACTTTTTCAATTGAAATCATTTAGTATTTGAAAATGTTGTTTGAAGTTGTCATATTTTTAAATTCAAATTCAAATTGTTCAAAAAAATGTTATATTGAAAAATGACCAAACTAAAAGTTGTAAATATTGATAAGTTATACAACTTTGTTGTTGACATTTTTTCTATTTGAAATCATTTACTACCCGTAAAATTATTTTGCTATAGTAAAATTATTTTTCCATTTCATATGAAAAATGGAAAAATAGTCATCGGTGACGGGTTTTAGTTAATGCCCGATAGAGATTAAGTATATAGCCCGTCACTGATGAGTCATCTGTGACGGGCCTAGTTGTTATCTCAAACGGGCCTCAAGTTAGTGCACGTCACAGATGATGGTCATTTGTGACGGGCCACAACTTAAGGCCCGTTTGAGATATGGAATGTTATCTCAAACGGGCCTAAAGTTGTGACCGTCACATCACCATCATCTGTGACGGGCCACAACTTTAGGCCCGTTTGAGATATGGAATGTTATCTCAATCGGGCCGAAAGTTGTGGCCCGTAACTGATAGGTGTCATCCGTGACGGGCTTAAGTTTTATACCCATCTAACATGTCTGTATGACCATATCTCAATCGGGCACTTTTCGGCCCGATTAAGATAACTTTCTTGTGACGGTCCGCTATTTCTAAGCATATTAGAGCCCGTCACAGATAGAAGGATCTGTACTAGTGGATGTTCATGAAAATGAGAGGTCCACACAAGTCATCATCATGATATTATTTTTGGTGGAAAACGAAGGTGATGAAGTTAATGTGGGATGTGAGAAATGGCACCTTGCACTATTAATTGGTGCCTGACTCAGGTTGTATACATAACACTGTAAGCAAGATTTGTAATTGTCATGTGCATCTGACGCTGTAGTAGGATACACCATTAATTGTAGGATAACGCAGTTGGTGCTTGACTTAGGTTGTATACATGACTAGATGAGTACCCCGCCGTATTGCTGCGAAAAATTAAGTTGCATAATATGTACAAATAAAATATGTAATTTGATTATCAAAACTAAAACAATTTAATACAATTTTGAACCTAAAAATAATTGAGATTGCATATTTTGATGAGAGAAGAAAGAAGAGACAATTTAGACCATAGATCTATCACCCAAATGCTATAAATAATTGGGGTGATGTGGTTTAACGAAATAAGAGAGAAATAGCATTAACCACACTTAGTGGGGATGAACTATATATAATTATATAAGATGCCGTAGTATACATAACATTGTAAGCTCTCATGTTGTAAGGTAGAGAGCATAGAGAGTGGCGGTGGAGTCGCCTCCCAACAAATTACAGATAATGTCAAATGAAAAGGCAAGTCTAGTCCTAGCTAATACATTATGCAACTTATGTCAGTAACATCTAGTCTAGTCTTATAATGATATTTCCTGTTTTGTTTACTTGCATTTTTTAAATAAAAGACTTTTTTTCAAGCATTGTGGTCGCAACTTTAAATTTCATATAATCTATCTGTTCTTTATAAGAATACTAAATTCATATAAATTTGTATCTACATGTGTATTTCATTATGTTTAATTTGCACAATCACCATTTTTTTGGTTGAATGGTTCTATGGATGTAACATAAATGGTTTAAAATTGGTTGATTAGTTATATGGATGTAACGTAAAAGTTTCAAGAGCTAATTAAAGTACCAACAGGAACCAGTTTCATGTTTCATTACCAAAATCAGACTAATGTCTAATGGTACTATCAAGGAACCAAATCTGGACCTTTTTCCTTTCAAATTCCATCCATACTCACATCAACAAGATGTGTCGAACTAATTAAATTGGCCCACACTAATTTAGCTTAGCACAGTAATTTTACCAGCTCAACCAACCACCTGTCCGTTCGTTTACTTGTTTGTTGATGTCAAACAGTGATCACGTGGTGCATTATATGTACGTAGACCAATAATATTGTTTTAGAAAACTGTAACCAATTATTGGTCAAAACTAATACTCCCTCCGTCCCAAAATATAACAACTTTTAGTACTCAAGATTTGTCCTAAGATATTATAACTTCTCCCCTAACATTCTTTTCCCAACCAATAATAATCCTCCACCATTCACTTCTACATATTTTCTTAATAACCGTGTTCAACTTTAAAACTCTTTATATTCTGGGACGGAGGGAGCACTTAGTTACCGTTTTAGATGAACATTTAAAAAAACCGGAAGAATTGTTTTTTTTTAGAAAACTATAGCAGCACATACAATATTTAAATCTATGTATACTCTTCCTAAAACTATAGCGGTTGGATACACCAATTATCTCCCAATGATCCGTTGAAAGAATTAATGATAGACTTTTTTTTTAAGCATTGGAAGCATGTTTCCACGAATAGTCTATGCTAATAATATTGATAGTGGCATAGTTCATCGAGCAAGCATGATTATTCCTCGCATAATCAATGCCAACAATGATATGATTGAGAGAGGAGAGGTACCGGGTGCCAAAACCCAAGTTGATGTATGTGCAGATCGAGTACAAGCCGTAAGCCCTTCCTCCCTCCGGGTTAAAAATACTTGTCGTTTTGGACAAGGGTAAATAGCCAAAAAGTAGCTTTGACAACTATTTTCTATTATAATATATATATAAATATTAACAAATATATGATTTTATTGAAGTATTTTTTAAGACTAATCTACACATCTGGTTTTCATATTTTTAGGACAAATATTTTAGAAATTATTTATAGTCAAAGATTTTAAAGTTTGACTGTACCCTTGTTCAAAACGACTAATATTATCAGCCCGGAGGGAGTAATGGGAAATTTAGCAAACCTCCTTCAAATGCCAAACCAGGTCTAAAACCTGTCATAAAAGCGCATGAATCACAAAAACCCACTACGGCGATGTGAATATTTGAAAGCTACTTAGCTTGAAGGACATCAGCTACCTCAAATTAATTCTGTATGTGTTGCATGGCAAAAGTTAATTGAGCAATTTTATCCATTGAACACCCATAGTTCCAAAGCTTTCATGTTAACAGAACCCTTCGGCAGTGTGAGAATATTACTTGTAACTTTGTCTCTCAACACAGGGAATTTATTACTATGAAATATAATGAAATGAACCCCTAGATGAAGAGAAAATATCCCTTCCCTTTTACTAAATTAAAGTAAATGAAACAAAATATAAGCAAGAAACAGATCACCAGTATACTCCTTTTTGCAGAAGAGGATCGAAATAAAGGGAAAGAAAACTTTGCAACCAATGGTCTAGAAAAATTGATGCTAATGTTTTGTAGATGGAATTATTTTTTACTCAATTTAGCAGAGTGAACATCCAAATTAATTAGATTACAGCTGCAATGCAATCACCACCACTGCATTGATACGTATTTCGGTGGAATGAATTGTAAAAGACATTACAGTGATATGAAATACACTACAGATAATAGCTTCCTACAACTTTACATGTGTCATTAGTACCCTGCAAACACCCCTAGCAGCAATCCATGAGCTTATATGCCTGCTAGATGATCTACAAAAATGTGATGTTAACCTTGGGATTATGGGGAAGCATCTTGATTTTGTCACCGATAACAGACTTGATAATCTCCTTCGGTGGATCATTTTCATCTTCAGATAACATCCCAATAGTGAGATCAATACATTTAAGAGAACATAAGTGCTGAATACCAACCACTAAACTGCCATATGTTGCTTGTGCTTTATCCGCATTGAATTCAAGTTTAAGCCACTCAAGCCTGGTCATATCTGCTTCAAACGTCAAACCAGGTCCATCTGTATTACAAAATTCAAGGCGTGTTAGACATTGGAATGCACCGTGTCTGATCATAAGTCCATCTTCAGGAACTCGCTTCACGGTTACGCATAGGACAGTTAGTGCAGGCAAACTTTCAAGAACATGCAAATCTTTCCTTTCCATACGTTCAATCCTGAAATCCAAGTAGGCGAGATCGACGAGCGAGTGTTTGATCCATTTTGGAAAGCTGGAGAAGTAGCGAACACCTCTGTACTCAAACTTTTGGAGGAGAATAGGAGGAGGGCACCATGAATCTGCTGAACAATCGACACCGGTGGTAGAGCTCTGATAATACAGAGACCGAAGGCTGTTACCCCCAAGTTTGCAGAGGGATGACATCAAAGATTTCTTTCTAGCATCTGGATCACTAGTAATTTCTTCACACCTAAACATTATTCGAAGCACCCTCAGATTGCTCAGAAGTTCAAGATCTTTCCCAAAATTTATGGAGCAGTTGCAAGCATCAAGAACCCCCAACTCCTGAAGAGATTCCATGTTAGCAAACCCATCTGACAGTATGAGTTCATTGCCAACAAGGCGCATCAGTCTCTTTAGCTGAATAACACTTTCTGGCAGCAATCTTACTTGGGTTGAGCTTACATCGAGCATCTGCAAATACTCAAGCTTCCCAATTTGGGCCGGTAGCCTATCAATACTTGTCTTAGAAAGCCTCAGGTATTTGAGATGAAATAAACTTACAATGCAATCAAGATGATCATTCCTCAAAGCACGGCAACCCTCTAGATCTAACACTCGAAGAACAGGAAGGTTTAAAACTGAGGGCATTGTCCAGCCATCAATATGGCATATACTAATTGCACGGATATAGGGCAAATTCATGCTTCCTTTCGATATAAACCTTGGAAATTCTTGCTTGTTCCAAACAGAGAGACGTCGAATCCTTGACTTTGGAGATGGGAGTTCCTGACCATCCACCATAGTCAAAAAATTATCTTCAACTGACCGAGAGATTATGAAATTGAGTACTATATCATGAACTTTGCATCCCTGTTCAATTGCCCCATGTACCATATTAACAGGTTGGACCAAACTCCTATTTATGAGCTCATAAAAGTAGCTTTCTGCAACTTCCTCCAAAGTAAACCCTTGTTTTGTGATGATGAACCCTTCAGCTATCCATTTCCATACCAAGATATCTTTGCGAATCTCATGATCCTCCGGAAAAGTACTCAGGTAAAGGAAGCAATTTTTCATATGGTGGGGTAGATCGTTGTAACTCAAAGACAATATCTTATCCATTACCTCCAGCTTACTATCCTTTTTTGGCATAGAACCTATATAATTTAGAACTCTCTCCCATTCTTCCTTTCTTCTTGGTTTATCAGCTAGCAAGCTAGCTAAAGTAATAATAGCCAATGGCAAACCATCACATTTGTAAAGTATCTTATTGATAACCTCCTGCAGCTGACTGGGGCTATTTTCTTCAGAACTAAAAGTCCTTTTGAGAAATAAATTTTCAGAATCACTTTTGGTAAGAGGTTTCATTTGGTAAACAAAGCCCTCATCTGAAGTGCAACAGAATTGACCTACACTTTTGATGCGTGTTGTTGTGATTATTCTACTTGCATGGTTGTTTTTAGGAAGAGCGCATTGTATTGTTTCCCATGCCGACTTTTGCCATATGTCATCAATCACAACAAGATACCTATAAGCACAAAATTATGAAGCAATATAAATCATTTTTGCATTAATTAGTAAATGCTACAAGTATTTGTTAAAATCCAATTCCATTAAGTTCATCAGTTCTCCTTCCGATTTGTTTGTTTTCAGTAAGAACTCTTAGACATTTTTTTTCTAAAGAAATTTTTATGCACTTGGATTCTTGCTGTATACAAATCAAAATCCGATTCCCATGTAAACTTATCTGCGCACTTTCATGTCTCGAATTAATTAAAATTTCCTGTATGGTATTATTTTTGCAAAAAACGATAATATTTTGGTTTTTCAACAGGGAGATAGTAGTAGATGATTTGACATAGACTTCATTTAGTTGAAAACAGTACTTTGAGTTTCATTTATTAGGAAAACCACTTTTTTGTTTAACGTGATTATGTACATAAACATAAAATCATGCATATTTCCAAGGAGAGGACAAGATAAAATAACAAAAAGATTGTCTTTCTTTGAAAAATACTCAAAATTTGAGTATTATGAGAAACCACTCACACTTCATTTTTTTTTCATAAAACAACTTTCCATGTATGGATGCTCCAAACAACTAGACAAATAGTAGGCATGCAATGTTGTTATTATTGTTAATTATTATGTATGAAAAGCCAGTGAAGTGTACTAACCTTTCATTTTCAAGACATGCTCTTAGCTTGTCGATGAGTTGTTGGTCACTATATAATTCTCTTGCTCCTAAACTTTCACTGTTGCTTCCAATTCGAGAGAGCAACTCCCTCAGAAGGTTATTTATGTTAGGCTTTTGTGATACAGATACAAACGCTGCACAAGAGAATTGACCTCTGATTCTCTCATACACCTGTTTAGCGAGGGTAGTCTTACCTGAACCTCCAGATCCGACAACGGACACAACCCTACGATGCCACGTAGGTTCCTCACCAATTAACTGTTCAATGATTTCTTTGCTTGGGCCCTCGATGCCCACAAGTTTTTGAACTTCCACATAGAGTGCTGGCAACCGAGGATCAATCTCCACAAAAGAGTTGCTAGAGCTGCCTTCTTCAAGCTTGTATCTCTTTTGCCGATTGTATGCTTCATTGGCAAGAACTTGAAGTTGATGCATTTGCTTAGCAAACTTGTGTCGATGGTGAATCTTCTTCAACTTGCGAAGGATCTTGAGGATGACCCTCTTGACTCCCATGGTGGTGCTCACTGGCTCGTGGTCTATGCAGTAACTGAAGAGATCTATGCTATCCTCCATGTCATAGGCCAGCTCATGCATCTCTATTGTCCAAGCCTTCACTTGCACATCAAAATTCTCCATGCCTGAGTACTTCTCCAGCGCAAGGTTGATGGCCATGAGTTCTTTCATGAGCTGCTCTAGCTTCTTCCTCGCGCCCTTTAGCTCAGCATACTCTTTCTCAATCAGGTTACCTAGCTTGCCAAGCAAAGGGCTCATCACCCCTAACAAGGCACTCATTATGATCTTCTCCCCAACTCCTCCCATCTCCCTCCCTTGCAAAGTTGCAAACAACCCTCTACACTTTAATATCTACTCAAATTTTGACTAGGGTCATGGGTTTGAAGTAGAATTAGCTGTAAGAATATCTATATTTCAATATATCGTCTACACCCTCCTCTCTGCTCAGATTATGACCAGGATGATGGGTTTGGAGTAGAACTGGATGCAACTATATATAATTCTTGTGTCCTAGTACAAATGTAATTTGTAGTGCTGTTCGGGTGGAAGTGCTCTTTCAGCTGCTCTATGACTGACCAGAACTTGAACATTTATAGAGTGGTGCGCCTAACACACCCTAGCAGTAGCTGAAAAACATAAGTCTATGGGGGTAGGCAAACTTCTCTTTCTCGGTCGGTCATTTTTCAAAAACTAGTAATATACCTGTGGATTGAACGAGCCCATACCAGTGGCTAGGTGTGGATCTATTCTAATGCATGTGATCTTTTTATTAACGAACCTTTTTTTCCCTGTTTTTAAGTAGTAGAGATGTACTCCACATCACGGTCTTGGGACTATAAGGGAGCTACCTGTATTCCTCATGGCTAGTTTCTAGAAGCATAATTGAAGTAGTCAATCAAATAGAAATTTTAGTGGTGAATGAAAATTAAATAATGTAGATGGAGAATACACTTTCATCAGATATAAGCTAGGCAGTGTTAAAACAAAGTGCAAAAACTAGTTCAAGTATAATTGAATTATCCGACATTTTCTATAGGAAAAAACAAAATCTATAAAAATCTACATGATTAATCATCGCGGCATACATGATATGGATAAAAGTTGTAAATAGTCCACCGATAAAACACGAAACAGAATGTGAAGGTCAATAGAGGATTATTTGGCTCATTGTGCAGTTGAACTGTAAAGATGTTAACATTGACGAAGCCAGATTGCCAACCAAAATTTTAGCAATGCCAAAAGCATAGTATTGGCAAATTTTAGTATGGTTTGCGCGAGCATTGATCCAAATAAACCTTAGATGACTTCAAATAAATGATAGGATTGCCATTGGTTGTGAGTCCAAAACCATTATCGACATGTGTGTTCTTAATTACCATAAAGTTTACTTTTGTAAGTTATAGTTTGCTACATATGACCATTTATAGGGTCATTATGTCAGTTGTCTGCTTCAGATTGAGATATCCAAATTAAGTTGCCTGCTTCAGATTGAGATATGCAGGGGATATTTGTCTTACTGCAGCTTATAGCTATATCAAGCATGTATAAAGTAACTTCAAAAAATAAAGTAAAAATCATTTTTTCAAAAAAAAAATATTTGAGGTATGCATTCATATTGAGATATGCATGAGAGTGCATCACCAATAGCAGTACTATCTTGATAGTTAATATTTCTCTTTTGCTGATGACTAAATAGTACTAGGATATAAGGACTGATTGTCAAATACAATTTGTGAAGTCAACAAATTTATGTCTAGATCATAAAGGAAGTGACATATATATCAAGGCCATCAAGTAGATTATTCATGAAAATAAGAGGTCCACGGTTCCAAGTCATCATGATATTATTTTTGGTGGAAAACGAAGGTGGTTGTTGTATACATAACACTGCAAGCATGGCTTGTAAATGTCACATGCATCTAAGTGTGTCAACTCTCTACGTACGAATTCAACCGAAGCTCTAATTTGGAGAGGTAGACACGCATCTTAGGCAACAGTAGGGTAGGTAATGGCATGGGTCCCTAAATTAGGGCAACCTACCTTTTCTTTTCAATCCATGCCAATGTGATTTATACTTCATCCGTTCCAAAATAGTTATAATTTTAGGATTCAAAAGTTTTTCAAAAAGCCACTTTATAGTACCTTTTATCACATCAATCACCTGCAATTCAAATTTTTCTTCATCCTGCCCCCAACTATCCTCTCGTTCCTAACACTATATCATTTCATAGGGTGCACTATGATCATTTCTTGCTAAACTTTAACCTCCACTAAATACCATGGAACCATAACTATAGTGGGACGGAAGTGGTATGTTTTAGGACCTTTTTAATTATTTCATTTTTTTTCAAGTTCCCCCTTTTCGCCTCCACTAATTTTGCTAGAATGTGCCAGGGCTTATTTTTAATGGCTCCAACAAGCTTTCGATGACAATTATGGTAACCTGAAACAACTATATTTTATCATAACAATAATGTGATTGTGCGTAATAAGAACTGAAGATTCTATTTTTCTCTCCTTCATTAAAATGTAAATCAGTTAATCAGGATGCGATTCTTTTTCCTGGACTTAGCCAAAGCACCACCACTGTTAATTATCAGCTAGAGAGCATCCTTGGTATAGCTCAGCTGTTGTTGGTCATGCATAATTTCTACTCGTTCAGTAGCAGTGCATGGCTAAAGAGAGAAGATGGCTAGTTCTCATATTTTAAGATAGAGAGCCAACCATCGTGTCCCATGCTGCGGATTGAGCACAGAGCACCGACTGTGGAGTCCTCTCCCAACAACTTATAGATGACCCAGCGTTAACTGAAAAGGCGAGTCTAGTTCTTTTATATATTTTATATATATGTGTGTGTAATTAATTTCGGTTAAAAACATATCTTAAACTGAACTTTACTGTTTTATTTATTGGCATTTTCTAAATAAAAGGTCTTTTTTAGCACTTGGGGTCTGAAATTCTTAGGTACAGTCCTGTGGAGTGGATACAAAGGAGATAAATAAGTGTATTTGAAGCTATAATCCATGTCCAACTCCAACCACACCCCACCCACACCCCTCAATAAAAGAAAGTGCAAGATAATATAGTATGAGTGATATAACATCCATATCCACGTATATATAAGCATAGAAAAAGACATTCATAGCGCTTGAGGATAAATTTCATTCAATTTATTTTTTCTTAATTAGAATACTAAATTCATATAAATTTGTGTTTAGTTGGGAATTTCACTATGCTCGGTTTGCAAAAACCACCCTTTTGGTTGATTGGTTCTATGGATGAAGCATAAATTGTTTCAAGAGTTAAAATACCAACAGTAACCAGTTTCATGTCAAAGAACCAAAATCAGACTAATTAAAAAGTTATAGTCAAGCAACCAAACCTGGACTTTTTTCCTTTCAAATTCCATTCATATTCGCATCAGCAACATGTACCGAAATAATTGAACTGGCCCACACTCAATTAACTTAGCACAGTAATTTTACCAGCTCAACCAACCGCCTGTCCTTCTGCTTGTTTGTTGGTAAGCTGTCAAACAGTGATCATGTGTGGTGCATTGTATGTAGCCTAGTCCAATAATATCTTGTAGAACACTGCAACTAATTGGTTAAATCCGATGCTCCTTCAGGTTCCATAATTTTTAACGTATTCGATAAGGTTGAGATCAAACAATTAGAATTTAACTATCAATAACTCTTGAAATAAGTTTGAAGATATTAGAACATGGTATCTATATTATTAGTTTTGAAAAGTACTTTAATAAGATTAAATATTTACGGTGCAATAGAGAGACCACGCTCCCGTCCGCGTCGCTCTCCCCAAGGCGACACGGACGGCGACCAGCGCCCGCCCCCGCCACCCTCCTCCCTCCTCTCCCCCGCCTCGCCGTCGCCTGAGCGGCTGCCGGCAAAGACGGCGGCCGCAAGGACGGCGGCGGCAGGGCTTCTTCTCCCTCGGTGGGGCCGAATGGCTAGGGACCAACCGCGCCTCGGAGGTGCCCAGATCCGGGCCTCCATGGCTAGATCCGAATGGGGAGAGGCCGGCAAGCGCCGGTGGTGGCGCTGGCGAGGCGGCAGGCAACGGGAGAGGCGAGGACCTAGCGGTGGCGGCGGAACTGGAGGAGAAAAGGCGGCAGGGAGAGCACGTTGGCGGGGTCGTCGCGGCGGCTACTGGCGGATCTGGCACCCTCTTGGGAGGTCATCTCCTCGTGCGCCGGCGAGAGGTGGAGCTCTAGCTCGGCAAGGCGGTGGAGCTCCCTTCTCCGGCGATTGATGGGGCGCCAAGCCGGCTGGCGAGGTGACAGACAGGAGGCGGGGCGAAGGAGGCGGTGACGGGGTAGAGGTCCCGGCAGAGGCGGGGGTTGCCTGTGCACGGGCCGCCGAATCTGGCTCCTCTTGCCGGATCCTGCGCCCCCTCCCTCCATCCCTCCCACTGGATTTGGCCTCTCCGGCAAGGAAGGCCGGCTCTCGACAACGAGACGGTAGCAGAACTGCGGGGGGTGTGTAGCCGTGGTGGTGTTCGGCGATGGTCGTGAACTGGGCTTGGGTGCTAAAGGGATGGTGCGATGGTCCGGTACTGGTCGTTGTGCAGGATGGTTGTGTGGAGCTAGGATTGGAATCGCTGGCGAAAGCCTTGCCACGCCATGGGCCGGCATGACGACGACGGCGCCATTAGGCATCGTTTTGGCGTTGACCTCTCCTTGCACCAAGAACCTTCCCTGTGCAACGGTAGTGGTGGACTCCTGCATTGCCTCTGAAGCTCTTCAAGCCTAAGGTGTTTGACGAGGTCTTCTCTGTCTTGGTTCTGTTTCTTACTCTACGGCGGGTGTTCATCATTCTTATTTGGTTACTACTAGGTAGAGTCAGAGCTGCTTCGTTGTAGGGGTGTGACGAAGCTCGGCAACGATGACACACCGCAATCTCTTTATAAGGTTGTTGATGTTAGCTGTGTGTAGGAAGTGGTTCCTTAGCTGTTTGGGCTGATGTCCTTCATGGGTATCGTTTATGCTTGTTCTTTTGGCGTTAGGGTAGCATCGCAGTGAAGTCGAAGCTGCTGTGTCGCTTGGGCGGCAAGCTCGGCAACGATAACATGTGTGGGCTATTTTATCACCATTGTGACAAAGCTTGGCCGATGCCTTGTGTCGGGCTCCATCGTGGTAGTTTAGGTTAGGTTAGTTGTTAGCGTGGTGTTGTAGTTGTGGTTTTCGTTCAGTTTTCCCTAATTAACTGGACACTGTAAGGTTTGATCCCGTTTGCTCCTTAAAATGGGACACCTTCTTCTTAATATAAAACATCGGCAACAGCCTGACCGTTCGAAAAAAAAAAGATTAAATATTTACTTATTTTTTATTATATGATAAAAAAAAGTCGTAGTCAAAGATATGTTGAACATGTCATTGTCCAAAACGTCAAGAACTATAAAGCTGGAAGGGGTACTTGGTTACCATTTTAGATGGATATTTAAAAAAAGGGAATAATGTTTGATTTTTTTATAAAACTATAACAACACATACAATATTTAAATATATGTAGTCCTCCCGAAACAGTAGCAGCTGGATACACCAACTATCTCCCAAAATATCCTTTTAAAGAGTCAATGATAGAATTTTTTAGCGCTGGCAGCATGTTTCCACGCGTAGTCAATGCCAACAATGATAGTATGCTGGCATAGCTCATCACTCGAGCATGATTCCACCCATAGTCAATGCCAACAATGTTATGATTGAGAGGAGAGCTACTCGGTGCCAAAACCCAAGTTGCTAGCTGTGTGTAGATTGACTACGACCATTTATTAAGCTCTTAAGTAATTGGAAAAAAATTAGCATACCTGCTTCAAATACCAAACCAAGACTAAACCTGTCATGAAAGCGCTTGAGTCGAAGAAACCCACTGTGGCGATGTGAATGTTAACAGAACCCATCCGGCAGCCTAGAAGATGCAGTTTGAACAGCACGGTTGCTTATGGAAACTAGTATCTAGAACCAGTATTTTCCTAGAGGCTGGAGGCAATATTTAAAACCAGTATTTAAAACCTTGTTCAGGAATGTGTCAAATTTTGGGCGTCCACAACCATCCAAAGAAGGCCAAATCATGGCAAGATTGATGGTATATAAGACGCTAATGGATATTGATGGATCGTGGACATCAAAGGCCACACATCTTGATCGCCATTGATTAATTGCCACATTTGTCACCATCGATTAACTGTTACATGTGCAGCTCGTAGAAGAAGGGCAGCTTATTGATTAACTGATCGGTGATATACCACTAAATCAGCATATGACACCCCAGTTCGTCAGGTCCATCATGTCACACAACACCTTTCAACAGGCTGATGTGGGGGCCATGTAAATGCAAACTAGATGACACCATCTACGTTGATGGAGAACTCTTATATTCCAAATAGCTATAAAGCTGGTAGAGATGTAGGGTAGAAAAACATAAAACAATGTGGAATTTAACTTATATCAAATCTCGCTACGTGCTTACCAATAACACGTTTAACGGTATGAGATCAATATTTGTACGTTGCATTGGAAGATATTAGTCAGTCAGAAATTTTATTTTTTTGGGGGGAGGGGGGGGGGGGCGAGAAATCAACTTACTCAATGTATTGTGAAGCCGGTAAAGCCATCTGTTTGTCACCTATCATTCTGCATGGATGATACTTGGGTTGCAGTCTTTGTAATCAGTTTGGTGACCTACAGGAATCTCACATTAGTAAATATTTACTTCAATTGATGAACTGTGCGCAAACATGAAAAAAGCATAGGGACATGGCCATTACCCATCAGCTACGAATACAAAACAGAGAGAAACAGGAAAAAAAACCGGTGAACTACCTGCCTCATGATGCAAACATTGGATGACAACAATTGGAGTGGCTCCAGGGGATTACGGTAAGCTGCAACGATTATGGGACATGTTAAGTGAAGAACCAAACTCTAATAGCAATGCCGATGACAATGAGTGCCATATGTAAACATGTTGCTGTTGAGTAAACAACAAAAATCACAGGAATGATCTGACCTTCATGGCCATTGTATGCAAAACCACTTGACGACCATGCCAAGTGAGTAGCAGCAGCAACGGAAGGCGTGCGGTTGTATGAAGTCACACGAGTAAAATGTCTTTTATATATATAATAATCTGCAACAACGACAGCTCGTCAGCTGCCTAAGCATTTCACCGAACACATGATGTGCGTAACTTAGTATTATTGAAGAAATTACCAATCCGAATACCTCAACCACCAGCAGCTCAACTCGAATACGAACAGCTCAGATCGAAACCACAAATCTGAGCAGCGCGTGAGCTGTATTAAGGGTGTGGCTCTGTAGAATCGATGAACAGAGAGGGAGAGGGAGACAGCCGTGGTGGCGTGGTCTCGTCTCTTCGTCTTCGGGTGTGCTCACCGCATCCGTTCCAGAATCCACCCCCTCCCTGCCGTGTCCTGCTCCGGCCGCCTCCGTTCTGCCATGCCGCCGCCGCCCGCCGTGGACGTACGGACGGCGAGAGAGACAGACGAAACGAGGGCGCACGCGTCGAGGTTGCCTATGACAATGACAGGATGGGCCCACCACTGGCTGGAAAAAGAAAAATTAAAAAAATAATCTACAGATAGTTTCCAGCGGTAGAGGAGGAGACGAGGTTTGTTTATCCGTTTTATTCGCGATGGAGCTCGAGCTGCTATGCTCACCCATGGCGACCACCGCCGCGGCGACCATGGTGGCGGCGGCGGCCCACCACCCCCGCCCGCGCTTCCGCGTGCGCGCCGCCTGGGACATGAACCCGGGCGCCGCCACCGTCTCCGCGCCCAAGCCCAAGGCCAAGCCCCCGCCGCCGCCGTCGCCGCCGCCGCTGCCGACCGCCCCCGCCCCCACCCACGCCGACCTCTTCGCCCGCCGCAGCAACAGCGAGGGCCAAGGTAATAATCCCCATCCCTCACTCTCCGCTTTCCCAAACCGCTGGAAGCTTCTGAGGATATTGTGTGCTTAGGTGGTTAGTGGTAGTGGACTAATGGTACTGAACCACTGTACTGTAGTATATGACAGATACTGAATGTGTCTGAATACAATTTGTATGAAATGATTATGTAGAGTAATATCTTCGATTGTCAAGAGCAATAGAATGGTTGTGTCATCTGTGTCTGGTTTGTACTAGTGTTTGTAGTTAAAATGGTTGGTCTGAAAATGTCTGAATTTGATCGACGCATGGGTTGTTGCTTTGGTTTGCAGTGCCAAAGAAGACCACAAGTATGGGCTTTGAAAGGTGGTGGCTGCCGCCTCCGCCGGAGGTGAAGAAGCCCCGTTCGCTCTACAACGCCGCGTCCTTGGCGTACTTGGGGGACTGCATATATGAAGTGAGAAACAGTTTGACGCAATTGTGGTCTTTTATGCACTGAGAATTGTTATTATGTAACTGTATTACATATAGCTCAGCCTATTTGTCACTTCTATTTTTATTGGATTAGTAAGAGATAAGATGGTACATACAATGGTACAAACTGTCAACTTCAGGTCTGTATACTGTGCGATAATCTGTTGAGAATGATTGTGCTCCTCCATTTTGCAGCTTTATGCTCGGAGACATTTCTTCTTTCCACCACTGAGCATCAATGACTACAACAAGCGTGTAATGGATGTCGTGAAATGTGAATCACAGGTCTGGATTTGGCTCTTCACCTTTCTAATCAAATGGACTATCTTTATGCGTATGTGCTTTGCATATCTTGATGGATATTGTCTGCTATAAGCAAAAAGTTACTCAATGCTTCCATTTTTATGGCTGTTGTTTTTAATTCTAAAGGAAGTTCTCTTGTTTGTTATTTTTCTGTTCTGCTTGCTACATGATAATCACACAATCAGTATATCAAATATTATTTACATTATTTTTGGTTATTTTCATTTATTCAGGACCTTCTGCTGAACAAACTTCTCGGAGAAGATTTTCTAACTCAAGAAGAAAGGTAAACCAATAATTCTAGCCTTCTACCAGATGTAAAATATATGATAATGATAAAATTCTTATCAGGAAATTTTATGCTCTAGCGCCCATGTACATGACTGAACTTTTATGGGGTGTTAGCCCTTTAGTGTCCACTGTCCAGGACTTAAATTCATCTAGTAGGCCATCTGTTACTTTTATTTTTGGATTTTTATAGATTGGAAACAAACATCGTAGTGTTTGATACTATCTTCTGTGTCTGATGCCTGAGATATCAATGTGCGCATGCTTCAGAAGTACTGAGTTTCCTTATTCTGCAGGGACATACTTCGTTGGGGAAGAAATATCGTTAGCAGCAAGACACGTACCAGAAAACGTGCTGGAATTGCAGTTTACAATCGAGCATCTTCACTTGAGACACTGGTGTGTTCCACTATAGACTAATTAATGATTGCTATATTGGGGAAAAATCAACTCTAAAGCTGCAACTTCTGTTGTACCAACCCTCACACTATTTTTGTTGAGAAGACTAATCCTTTGCATTGTTGGTGGTATTTCTACTATTAGATTGGATATCTTTACCTCACAAATTTCAAGCGTCTGGAGCAACTGATGTTTCAATTAGGGTTTACAAGTGGCGCTTCTTCACAACATATTGCAGATGAGCTTCGCTCGAGTTTCCAGTTATGCGTCTCAATCATATGATTACGGTACTTTATCTTCAACTGCTGTTACTAACTGATAACCTTTGGCAGGACAAAGAACTCGTCTAGATCTGTACAGTCTAAGCAAGAAGCAGCAAAATGAATAGTTTAGAATGTAGTGACTGATACAAGCACATGTGAATTCTGGAACATGAGATCCAACGGTCACACACACAGTGAGTGATTCGCGATTAATGTTTGGCTGTTTGTCAAAAAAAAGCTAGAGTGAATTGAACAATATATGATGTATGCATTACTGGAGGCGGCCGCAAGATAATGGCTCAACGTCAGTGAGCATTACTGTTTGGCTGTTTTGCTGTTTTGATCAGCCCATTTTGAGGTGCTAAAAAATGTGTTTCTACTCATTGAGGGTGATGTAGGCCATGGGTGTTATCAAGACCTTGTGTATTTGTTCAATTGTGTACTGCCCATTGCTAACAGAGCTGTGCTTGCTATCAGATGTAACTTGTGCTATCCGCTTCATCCGTTCAGGACACTATCATACACTAGGGTGCATTGTCTTTTTGAATGACAACTCAAAATTTGTTGAAATGCATCAACGGGTTCCTCTTTTAATTTTATTTTTCAAGTTGATGGTTTGAATATTATTGAGTCTGAGAAACATATTGTTCACTTCGAAGATCTTCATCTGCAAATACTACAAACACCTGTTTTCTTGTAATGAGATCATAACCATGGCTTAATATTGAAGAACCAACTGTCAGTCCCCCATTACCTCTCGTAGTTGGGAGCTTCTGCTGCAATACATAAACAATTGTTTATCTGGAACCATAAGCTATTCTGGCTGCACCAAAGTTCCAAAGTCAAGAATAACAGATTATCTGGAACATTTGCACCTTTTGTTATTTATTTATATGCACAAAAACACACGGTAGGATCCTTAGCTACTGTTTGCACTAAAAAAACATATATAGCTGAAAAACATCTACTACTGAAATCTGGCTATAATCTACTGTTAAATATTGCCTCGTTAACTTTGCGAAGTTTGCATAGGAATTGTTCTGAAGGAAAATAATATTTTGAAGATGACAGGAATTTGGACAGCAGGTTCGGGCTTGGGTGCATGTATACACAGCTTTGTTTCTGCGGTGTTATTCTCAGTTCATGCTATTTGCTTCATTGCTTGTGGAAGGGCTCCCACTGTATCCTTTATAATCTTGAAGAGGAGAACTGGGCATGAGGTAATTGTTTGAAATAAAGTCAATATAGGGTGAATTGGAGAAAACATGAATCCTATGTCGTTGTCATAAATCATTTAAAATATGAGGATTTAGAGCGTTAAATCAATCAAAATATGAGGAACTAGAGCACAGATATTACAGCAACATAGTAAAGGAAGATTGGAGGGATAAATTGACAGTACCTGAGCCTAGCCTTGATGATTTTAGATAAGATCGAAAAGTCGGTCTCTAGTTCAGACTCCTCCTTCACGAAAAAAAAATGAAATATAGTAAAATTTATGCACGCACAGTTTCATTGAGAATCAAGTTGTCAAAGAAACGTGGGCAAATATACTTACAACAAGATCCCCATATACATGGATTATTGTGAATTCAACCTTGGGTGGGTGAGGAAGCGACTTGAATTCGTTGTTGATAATAGACATTGCAGCAGCCTTCGTCTCTGGAACATATTTACATTTGCGTTCAATTCCAACGGAAATAGAGTACAGATTGAGAGAGGAGAGGTGTCGGATTCCAAGTCCAAAACCTCCATATGCATTATATGCGGAATATGCGCTTAATCCAAGGTAAAGCTTTTCGAGCTTTGGCATTGCATATTCTTCAAACATCAAACCAGGGCCATATATGTCATAGAAGACGAGACATGTTAAACATGAGAATCCATTTTGACCCACCCTAAGTCCATCTTTGGGAGTTTTTTCTACAATTAGCTCAAGGACAAGAAGAGCAGGCAATTCACCGAGCATATCCAGATCTTCCTTTTCCATTAGCTCAACATTGCACTGCAAGTTGGTAAGCTCTGAAAATGAGGGATTAGACCACTTTGGAAGCCTGGGAAACCAATCGTAACTGCCTCCCAACACAAAGCATTCAAGGGAACGTTGAGGACCGCACCATGAATCTACAAGGCAATCTATATCACCATGTTTTGTGTCATTGGAAATCTGTAGATACCGAAGGTTATGTTCCCCCATATTACAGAGGGATGAGGCCAAAGCTCTCAGCCCAATTTTTGAATAACCACTCTGTAACCAGTAAAAATGTACTCCCAGAGCTCTCAGCTGTTTCAAATTTTGTAGATCTTCCACAAAGTTTATTGAGCATATGCCAACATCAACATCCCATAGCTCTTGCAGAGCTTCCATCTGACCAAACCCACCTGGCAATCTTAGTCCATTCCCTACCAGACGTATCAACCGTTTGAGCTGAATAAGGGTTTCTGGTAACTCTTCTATATTAGTCCCTAACAGATCGAGTGTCTGCAAAAATTCCAACTTTCCTATCTGGACTGGAAGCTTCTCTATCCAACTGAGGGCCAAATATCGCAAATGTAACAGACATCCAATATTCTCCAGATAATTATATAATCCTTGACCATTCTCCTCAGGGTAGTCCTCTAGGTCTAACACTCGAAGAACTTGCAGGTCCTGAAGAGGGGGCATCAACCTAGAAACACCAAAAGAATTAAGTGATCGGAGATGAGATAGCTCCATAGTTCCTAGTGATATTGCTCCAGCAGGTTCATCATTATTTTGGAAAAGGAGCCTGCGAATCTTGCCAAGTTGAGATGAGTTCTCCTGACCATCAAGTACAGTTACAAAATTTTCTTCAATTGATCGGGAGAGAATGAAGTCGAGAACTATATCATGAACTCGACATCCTCTGGCTTCACCATCAGATTCTATTTTGATTGGTATAATCAAACTCCTATTAATGAGATCATTGAAGTAACTCTCACCTACTTCATCCAAAGAATATTGTTGTTTTGTTGTTATGAATCCTTCACATATCCAACTCCATATCAAGCGGCTTTTATCAATCTCATAATCTTCTGGAAATGTAGTAAGGTACAATAAGCAAGGGCGTAAATAGAGAGGCAAGTCATTGTAACTCAGGGATAATATCTTATGTATGGTATCCCACTCTCCATATTTCTCATTTGTGGAACCTATAGACTTCAACACTCTTTCCCATTCTTCCTTCCTTCGATTATTAGCCAACATGCTTGCTAATGTGACAATGGCCAGTGGCAAACCATCACATTTATCTAGTATCTCATTCATGATCTCCTTCAGCTGACTTGGGCATGTACTGTTGGCACCAAATATCCTTTTCACGAACAAAATTTCAGAGTTCTGTCTGCTAAGGGGTTCCATTTTATAAACAAAGCCTTTACATGGAGTGCAACAAGATTCAGCTATGTTGTTGATGCGTGTTGTTATTATTATCCTGCTTGCATGGATAGTTGTGGGAAGAGCACACTGTATTGTTTTCCATGCCGTGGTACTCCAAATATCATCTATGACAACAAGGTACCTACATATTATACAAGGTTGAGAAGCAGAACGCATCATTAAAGTTCTCATTTCTGAAAGCACCAAGACTCAATTAAAAAGGCATATCTATCGATATCTATATATTACAATCGATCCTTGTGAACTACTAAACTGTAGTTATATTAAGTTATTAATGTCAATATATCCGTCAGCGATGTCTAACACAAAACTAGGAAATAAGGCAAACATCCACAAAAAATATCCGTTTGTTCATGTCTAAGTAGTTGGAAGAAAAAGACCATATAGTCATCAGATTGTCCAAGTAAGAAGGGCAATGAAATAAGGGTAGAGCTTACCCTTTATCCTGAGGATCTTTCAGACGTTTATCCTCAAGATATGCTCTTAGGTGATCAATGAGTTGCTGGTCACTACTTGCTCCAATTTGTTGATCACTGTCTTGGTCCCGGCTACTCCTCTGAAATTTTGAGAGCATATCCCTCAAAAGGCTATTCATGTTAGGCCTTTGTGAGACGGACAGAAAAGCTGAACATTTGTATTCACCCCGGATTCTCAGGTACACCTGACGAGCAAGGGTGGTCTTGCCTAAGCCTCCCTGACCAACAATCGAAATGATGCTGCACTTGTTCGTCGGTGTGCTCTCCAGAACCAGAAACCTAGTGATGATTTCTTCCATCTGGCGCTCGATCCCCACGAGCCTTTCCGCCTCCTCGTAGAGCGCCGGCAAGCGAGGATCGATCTCTGTATGTGGTGGTGTTGCAGCAGAGCTGCAGCCATCGGCCTTGTATTTCAAGTTCCTCTCGTGGATTTCGCCGGCGGTGTTCTTGAGCTGCTGGATCTGGGCGGCGAACTTGTGGCGATGGTGAAGCCCCCGAAGCTTACTGATGCTGTCGAGGAGGAGCCTCCTGACGCCACCGCCGGCGGAGAATTCGTGGTTGGAGCGGTGGACGAACAGATCTATGCAGTCCTCGATGTCGTAGGCGAGCTCCCGGATCTCCTTTACCCATGCCCTCCTCAGCTTGTCCGGGTCGTCATCCATGGACGCGTACTGCTCCACCGCGAGGTTGATTGTGATGAGCTCCTTCCTGAGCTGCTCCATCTTCTTCCTCACGCCCCTGAGCTTGGAATACTCCTGCTCCATGAGGCCGGCGAGCTTGCCGAGCACGGGGCTCATCACCCCCGTCAAGGCGCTAACCATCATCTTCTCCCCAACTCCTGCCATCGATCTCCTCCAAATCTCTCCCTCTCTCGCGCGCGGGGATTGAAAAGAAATCAATCAGTCAGCGAACAAGCAGTGGTGATAATTTCTTTCTTTCTTTCTTTCTTCTACTGCGAATTTACCTTTATTTTTTTGGGGGGGCACTTTAAAAGGGTGACTGAGACCCTACTAAAACTCTCTGTCACGTCGGATGTTTGAAAATTAATTATAAATATTAAACGTAGACTATTAATAATCTCATCCATAATCTTAATCTTAGACTAATTCACGAGACGAATCTATTGAGCCTAATTAATCCATGATTAGCCTATGTGATGCTACAGTAAACATTCTCTAATTATGGATTAATTAGGCTTAAAAAATTTATCACGTGAATTAGCTTTCATTTATGTAATTAGTTTTGTAAGTAGTCTATATTTAATACTCTAAATTAGTGTCTAAATAGAGGGACTAAAGTGAAGTCTCTGGATACAAACACCACCTGACTCTTCAATCTTCATATGCCATTTTTAGTGGGAAAATTCGGATTATGTCATCGTGTTTCCCATCTTCTTTTTTATATACTTTTATTATACATATAGAGTGACAAGTAAGCAAGTCAGATAGATTTTTTTTTTCCTTTGAAGCAGTTTAATTTTGACTAAAGTCAAAATATTTTATAATCTGAAACGCAGAGAGTAGCATTCAGCCTCAACTTCCCACCTAGATATTCACCTTAAAAAAATGGATTTGATAGCTCCTCCATTTCATATATAAGACTTTTCTAGCATTGTCCACATTCATATATATGTTAATGAATATAGATATATATGTGTGCCTAAATTTATTAACATCTATATGAATGTGGGCAATACTATAAAGTCTTATAACCTGAAACGGAGGGAGTATCATAATGCTGCATCTGTGCTTTGCATATCTTGATGGACATTGTCTGCTATAAGCAAAAAGCTACTCAATGCTTCCATTTTTATGGATGTTGTTTTTAATTCTAAAGAGCAGTTCTCTTGTTTGTTATTTTTCTGTTCTGCTTGCTACATGATAATCACACAATCAGTATATCAAATATTATTTTACATTATTCTTTGTTATTTTCCTTTGTTCAGGACCTTCTGCTGAACAAACTTCTCGGAGAAGATTTTCTAACTCAAGAAGAAAGGTAAACCAATAATTCTAGTCTTATACCAGATGTAAAATATATGGTAATGATAAAATTCTTATCAGGAAATTTTATGCTCTAGCGCCCGTGTACATGACTGAACTTTTCTGGGATGTTAGCCCTTTAGTGTCCACTGTCTAGGACTTACTGCCTTTTGTTGTAGGCCATCTGTTACTTTTATTTTTTGGATTTTAATATAGACTAGTAAAAATGCCCGTGCGTTGTAACGGGTGAATAAATTCTAATGATTATATACGTTTTTCATGCATAATCATGTCAATGACAATGTTTGTATTTTAATGAGCGGCTTGTTATCACTCTGGAGGAAGAAATATCCTCTCTTCTTTTACAGGATGGAAAGGGACATGATTGGTCTTTCCTATGGAATTTTGATAAACACACAACTAACAAGTTCTATAAACTCATATTCTCGAATGTGCAAGCGTCGATGCCTTTTGTTTGGATCTGTGTTATGAAGATTAAAGTTTTTGCTTGGCTCCTCTCTAGAGGTAGGCTTAACACAAGGGATATGCTAGACCGTCGGCACTGTGGAAAGAAGAATGATGATCTTACTTGTGAGCTATGTACGAATAATGTAAGAGAGACAAGAGAGCATCTCTTCTTCTTTTGTCCCTTTAGTCAGAGGTGTTGGCAGCATTTGGGATTTCTGTGGAATTCTAATCTTAACTTCTTTCAAATGGTGGTTTCGGCTCGCATTCAGTTCAACCAGAAGGGCTTCTTGGAAATCTTCTTCATTGCTGCTTGGCACATTTGGAAGCAAAGAAATAGGAAAATATTTCGGAATGAACTTCCCTCCTTCAGTTCTTGGAGGGCTTTGTTCAAAGCAGATATTCTTCTGCATATGTGCAGAATGAAGGATCCTTTAAAGCAGATAGTTTTTGATTGGTTACAAATTGTGTAATCTTTTTTCCTTCTCCTTCTGTAACTTGCAACTTGTAAATATTTTGTATTCTTTTTATAAAAATCACACTGCAAGGCAAAGCCCTGACAGTATTTCAAGTAAAAAAAAGAGCGGCTTGTTTTTCTATAAATGGTGTTTTTTTTTCTTGTGCGATTTTCTCAAACCATTTTTTTTAGAAATAGCGCATTTCTTTCTAACAGTTTTTTCATAGCATGTTCTTTTTTTTGCTTTTTCCAACACAAGAGAATATATGACGAAATTAAAGCCGTGTAGTAGATGGCAAAAAATCGATGGATCCTATCCGACTCAAGCGTCTATTAATTTAGCGTTTTTTCGACAGTTTTTTGAGAGCGATTTGTTTTTTAATAGATGGTGTTTTTTTCTTGCACAGTTTTTTCAAATCATTTTTTAAAAATGGCGTGTTTTTTCCTCGCATGTTTTTTTTTAAAAAAAAATTACCGACGATGGAAATAATTTTTCTTGCGCGTTTTTTTAATTTTTTTATGGAAGATGGAAAATATTTTTAGCGTGTTTTTTGCACTTTTTTCTTACTTTTTCTCACGTGTTTTTTTGAACCGTTTTTATTTTTCTCTTGCATTTTCTCTTTTTAAATAGTTAGATTAGATTGGAGATAGAGAAGAGATATATACTGATTAGAAATTGGAATTTGTTTCGCCATTTCTATTTTTTTCTCGCGCGTATTTTTTATTTTATACGAACCAACTTTTTATTTTTTATTTTTTACGAACCATTTTTTTCGCCACTTTCTTACGAATTCGGACGAATTTTTTAAATGTTTTTTTGGATTTTTTCCGTCTTTACAGGAATCAGACTATTTTTTCGTTTTTAAAGGAATCGGATCTAGCATTTTTTTACCACTTTTTTTTCCTTTTATAGGAATCGGATCTACGGTTTTTTTGTCACTTAGGGGAAACAAACTTTTATTGTTGTTGTTTTTTCTTTTTTTCTTTATTTTCTTTTTTTGCGGTTTTTCTTTTTCGTTTTATGCACCTTTCTGCCCTTGTTCTCTCCCTTTTATTATTTTTTTTTAACAAAAACGACCTCCAGTATCTTATTGCAAGATTATAGTAACTCAAATGTAATTATAAAAATTACAGGGACTCAAATGCAAAAGTACAAACCCAAAAATTAAAATCATATAAAAATGGAATGCTCTCGACCGGTAGGTTCCGTTTTTGCAAACAGATCTTCAATCTGGCACATCAATTTATTTCACCAAGATGTATGGGATTGAAACCGAGTGGTGCCTACGATCTTGGACTCAAATGAGAGGGGTGTGTTTTATTTTTCGTTTTTAAGGGGGAATCGGATTTAGAGTCGGACTTTTTTTTTTTTGTTTCTGAGAGCGAATCGGATCTAGGAGTCGGACTTTTTTTTTATTTTTTTCGCTATTTTTTTTGTTTCGATGGACGAACGAAACATGAGATAGAGATAGAGAAGAGATAGAGATTGGGAACAAACATCGTAGTGTTTGATACTATATTCTGTGTCCGATGCCTGATATTACTCAGTTTCCTTATTCTGCAAGGACATACTTCGTTGGGGAAGAAATATTGTTAGCAGCAAGACACGTACCAGAAAACGTGCTGGAATTGCAGTTTACAATCGAGCATCTTCACTTGAGACACTGGTGTGTACAACTATAGACTAATTAATGATTGCTATATTGGGGAAAAAATCAACCCTAAGCTGCAACTTCTGTTGTACTTTATACTAACCCTCACTATTTTCGTTGAGAAGACTAATCCTTGCATTGTTGGTGGTATTTCTATTACTTCATCCGTTTCTAAATATTTAACACCGTTGACTTTTTAGCTCATATTTGACCATTCATCTTATTCAAAAACTTTTATGAAATATGTAAAATTATATGTCTATATAAAAGTATATTTAACAATTAATCAAATGATAGAAAAAGAATTAATAATTATTTAAATTTTTTGAATAAGACGAACGGTCAAACATGTTTAAAAAAGTCAACGGCGTCAAATATTTAAAAACGGAGGGAGTATTAGATTGGATATCTTTACCTCACAAATTTCAAGCGCTTGGAGCAATTGATGTTCCAATTAGGATTTACAAGTGGTGCTTCCTCACATCATATTGCAGATGAGCTGGTCTCAAGCTTTAAGTAATGCATCGTTCGTTTCTTGTCATGTAATTATGGTATTTTCATCTTGACTTTCTGTTACTAACGGATAACCGTTGGCAGGAAAAAGAACTCCACTTCTGTACAATCTCAGCAACAAGCAGCGCAGTGAATAGTTTCTGTATTGCAGCAAACAAGGTATGATCTAAACAATAGTTATCTGGTGACCACAACCAACACAAAAATGCATTAGTTCTGGTGTATGACATCCAAAAGTGGTTGCTCAATGAACGAGTAGAAATCATTGTTTGTTTGTCAAACAAGTATCGAGTGAATTGAGCAATGTATGATGTCTGCAAATATCAATCAGTGCAAGAAAATGGTGTCGCTTCCAGCCTTCCAGGAGGGTTTGACGGTTCTGATCTGTAGATTTTGAGGTGGCAAGCCACTGTGTTAGGGCATCCACAATGTGAGCTACTCCTAGAGTGTCCTCACTAACTGAAGACACTCTAGGGGAACTCAGCTCGCAATGAAGAGTATCCCTGGATGGGCTCCTCAAAATATAAAGCAACTGAATGAAGACACTTAAGCCCATAATGAGTGTCCCAACCAAAAAGCCCATAGTGGGTATTTTCCTATACTACCCTCCTCTATCCTCCAGCCCACCGACAACTTTTTTTTTCCCACCGCACCGACGCTTCTCCTCTCTCTCTCGCGCGCGTATCGCCAATCTCTCCCCCTCTCTTGCGCGCGTTGCCATCGCCTCCTTCCTCGCCCTCCCCAGCCGCCACCGCGCCGGCAGCCTGCGCCCTCCCCAGCCACCGCCGCGCCGCCGACAGCTTGCGCCAGATCTGGTCACCGCCGCCACGCAAGGAAGCTCTCCGCCCGTCGCCGACTGGTGGCCGACGGCTGCCGCGGCGCGTGGTGGCCGGATCTGGTCGTCGCCGTCGCTGTCACCTCTCTCCTCTCTCTCTCTCTCACTCTCTATCTTGCGCCACTCGTCGTCACCTCTCCTTCTCTCTCGCCGGGCGTGGTGGCGGCGGACGGCGAGCGGCGCGGGGTCGGGCGCGGTGCCCGATGGCGAGCGGCGCGCGGAGGCCGGATCTGGTGTGTCGCGCCGTCGCCGTCGCGGGGTCGTCGCCGGTCGTTGTCGTCGCCAACTCCGTCTCCTCCCCACCGCCATGGGCCTCCCAGTCCCAGCGAAGAGGCCAAGGGTGAAAGGGGAAAAATCAGGTGCGGGAGCCGTGCCCTCAAGCCACGATGTCACCCAACGCGTCCCCTAGCACCGTGGCTCCATGAAAAGCGATCAAGGAGCGGAGGGAGACGCGCCCCTCTGCTGGGGGTCGCGCCCCTCTGCTGGGCGACGGAAAACGGACGGAATGGCGACGTCTGTGAGCAGGGATACGCTTGGAGGTACCCATTGTGGATGGCCTTATTGCTATTCATTAGGTTGATATAGGTCGTGGTATCTCTGACACCTTGTGAGGCATCCCACTTTACCATGTGTATGAAGGAACTCTGACACCTTGTGAGGCATCCCACTAAGGAACTGCGAAACTGCAAGATATGCTGAATGATTTGATGCAGAGTTGTAGCAAGATTTCAGAATTACCCTGTGCTATGTGCTGGATTGAGTGCACTACCATTGTGAGACAGATGCCTTGCTTTGCTGTTTGTTGTGATATACTGTAAACAACACAATCTGGAACTATTTGAGACCATAAAAAAAGTGGCAGAGTTGGTAAAGTATATAGTATAATCTTAACAACAAACCATAGAAATCTGTTGTATATTTTCCATGTATAAACGGTGTACTTGGATCAACCAGACGATTGCTTCCTTTACATAAGATGTTTCATCATCTCATAACACGACAACCGATAAGTTACTAAGCAATCGCAATTAAAAGAAAAGAACTTCTCTTCTTGCTAATTACAGTAATTAAGATCGATCCATGAGCCACTCAAGGAAGAGAAAAAAAAAAGAAGCAAGATTAAAACCTAGCTAAGATCCATGATGCTACTGATGGCGAGGAGGAGTTAGCCGTGAACCGAGAGATAGAGGATCAGAGGCCGAGGAGCGTCCGCTGCTGGGCCTCGAGGAGGGACTCGTACTCGAGCTGCGTCTGCTCCCGGCCCATGGCCCAGATGAGCGGCACCCCAAGCACGATGCCCGTCGTCCCCACCACCCACGCCGCCTTCCCCGTGATCCGCAGCGCCTTCCCCGCCACCGTCGCCGCCGCCGCCGCCGCCTTCTCCGCGAAATCCAACACCGTCTTCATCGCCGACGCCGCCATGTCGCCGCCGCCGCCGCGCGCCGATCGATCGATGGTCTCGCGGTTTGGGCTTTTGGCTTTTCTTTTTCTCTCTTCTCTTTTTTTTGCGCACGTACGTGAAAAAACGGAGGCCACGCTTCGGTGGGGTTTATGCTGATCCCTAGCACGTATCGTCTGGTTATACTCGGATACGACAATTGTACACGTATTTATTTGTTTATTTATGTATACTAGAAAAAATGCCCGTGTGTTGCAACGGGTGAATACTATTTTAATCTTATTATTATTGTTATACGGTTTAGCTAAAAAATTCACTGTAGAAATTCGCTTGGATATTATTTTTTACAAAAGCTGAGCTGCAATGAGTAGTCTGATCGTCTCAAGTTAGCATGCGAGTTTTTTAAAGAGATTTATTATACGACTCATCATGTATTTCTAAAAGCAAAAGAACTTAAAAACCGATGCAAATACGGATATGTATTTCCATAAACAAATAAATTTAAAAACCGACTCTAATACGGATGACGTATCAAAGTACCAGCAAAAACATCTTCACTTTTTATAATAGTAGAGAAAAGATGCATGTGCGTTGCAACGGGTGAATGCTATTTAAATCTTATTATTGTTATACGTTTTAGCTAGGGTGAAATTCACAGTGTGAATTCGCTCGCTTGGATATTTCTTTTTAGAGAATCATAAGCTGTAATTAGGAGTCCGACATTCATCTCAAATTAAAAGAGATTTCTTATACAACTCTTTTTTATTTCCAAAGGCAAATAAATTTAAAATTCGACTCAAACACGGATCCGTATTTTTAAAAGCGAACTAACTTAAAATCTGTCTCAAACATAGATATGTATTTCCAAAAGTGAACAAACTTAAAAATTGACTCAAACACGAATAACGTATCAAAATACCGATAAAAACATCTTCAAGTTTTATACTAGTAGAGATAGCGATATAAATATATACATTTCATTTAGGAAAAAAAAGAAAAAAAATGATCGGAAGGGGAAGAGAAGCTAAGCAAGCGCATGGTGTGGTGGGACATATTTTTGTCTTCTTGTGATTAGATTTTTTCTTTTGTGATTAGGAATTTAGACTGTTTAGGGAGGGGTGGGGCAGGGGCGCTATCTAGCGCGTCCGGAGGGGGCTTGGGCCCTGCTTGGGCCTTGGTCGCGTCACTCGCGCGGGATCAGAATCAGGAGACCGACACAGCGAAAAAAAAAAACACACGCGGAGAAAACACGCGCGGAAAAACAGAAAACGTGCAGTGAAAAGTATGCGGTGACGGACAAACGAAAAATACGGACGAAAAAAAGTGACGAACGAAAAATACTAATCTTTTAATTAGTTAAGATGTATTTGGATACAACTCTTGTACCCTAGCTAGTATCCGATTATGGTACATGAATTATTTGTTACTTACCGATAGATCTTGATTAATTGCTTGGTGCTATGGTCTGCTTAACCACTCCGCGTCGCCCACGTGCCGGCGGCTCAGGGAGAAACCCTAGCCGCCCCTCCCTTTTTCATCTACAGCCGATGGAACATGTTTTAGGCTTTTTATTTATCCTATATCTAACAGCAGATTCGATCAGATTGCATTGGCTAGGTCCCTACTGTACGTTATTGGCTTATCAGCCGATCGACTATCGTATTCTAATACAATTTTATTATTTATAACTATTGGTTGCGGGATCAAATCAATTGACATCATGTCTTGAACCCAAAAGTAAGATTTAGACATGTCCTATAGCTAACCAGAATTCCCAGGCAGTCGTATTTTTCACATTAACACCCACATTCATCAACCCCAGTGACTGAAAGGTGGGCTTAGTGATAGCTTGGAGGATGGCTGCAGCTACTTCATTTTTTCTTAACCTAGGCCACTATTTTCGCTGGCGGCTGGTATAACACAACCGCCAGCGAAAATCGATTTCTGCTGGCGGCTGATAACCGCTAGCGAAGATTTTGATCTTCACTAGTCTTTGCTTCGTGGCGATTGCAAAAACTGTCAGCGAAAACCTAAAATGGCCGCTAGGAAAGATGGTTTTCCTAGTAGTGCCATAAAGGCCATGGCAATTTGGGAACAACATGACACACTTTGATAAGTTCTATATTAGAAGTTAACTTTATTTTTTTAATATTTCTTAAAAAAACATATACTCCCTCCGTCCCTAAATATTTGACGCTATTGACTTTTTTAAACATGTTTGACCGTTCGTCTTATTCAATAACTTTTGTGAATTTTATAAAAAACTTGAGTAGTAGTAGTATATTTATCAATCAATCTAATGATAGGAAAAGAATTAATAATTAATAAGACCAACGGTCAAATATGTTTAGAAAAGTCAACGGCGTCAAATATTTAGGGACGGAGGGAGTAGTTTTTTTAAAAAATAATGATGAAAATAATGCATCAGAGACATTCCCGAGGTATGAAACGTCAAACAAAAAGAACAAATAGTATATACTATGGTTAGGTGCGCATAATCGGCTTGAGAGGTGATTATTCAGGCCCTCTTTGTTTAGGCTTATAAGCTAACTTATAAGCCAAAAAATCTAAGACTAAACAAATAAGCGACTTTTTCGTTTGGCTTTTCTAAAGCTATAAGCCACTCTAACACTATTAAGCTAAAAGCTAAGTTGGAGAAGTTTTTTTTGGCTTATGTGAGGTAGATACATGACTCTACCATTAAATTTAAGACATTAAATTCACCAGCTTATAAATCATGTAAGCTAATAAACTGACTTAAAAGTTTAAGCCAATAAATCTAAGCCTAAATTTATTTAGAGGGCCTCAATTATGTTGGTGGCAGTCATCGATGGATCGATTGGTCATCCACGCCGAGCCCAAGTATTGTTGACCATTGACTCCCAATTCGGCTTCACACCGGCCGTCACTAGCTAGTGCTGACCAATTGACCCGCGGTTTACGTTTACCTCGAGACCATCCAGCGATCGATCGACACAGACGCATGATGCATCTCGTGTATATGCAACTAAAGCTCCATACAGAAGGGCACACACAGCTTGATAAGCTATTAGTACTGTAGTTGAGAGTATATATATATAGATCAGTGGCAGTGTGCACACCATGTCCATTGGTCGTCTTTGTCTTCCTCCTGCAAGCGGCACGAAGCTGCTGCTGCTGCTCACCGTGCAGCTTGTTGCAGTGATGATGCACTGCGGCTGCGCCATTGCAGCGCAAGCAGCAGGAGGAGGAGGAGGAGCATGGAGTAGGATGCTCCGCGCAGGTGTGTCGACGCCGGCGTCGCCGATGCCAAACAGCCCGGACCCGGGAGTCATTCATCACTGATCTATAGACTCCAGTGATCGTCCGGCGGGAAGCCGGCCGCCATGCAAACAGCCACCACGTCCATGACTCTCCAGTGATGATCATGAGTGTCTCACCATCGTTGCTAAATTTTAAAACTTAAGAGTTTGATTTTGGGGTTTCTTTTCATCCTAGTGTGTTTTTGGGTATTGGCTTTTAAACTCCTAATGATATAAGTAGATGTCAGTGTGTGTCTGTGTCACTAATTTTCACGTATATTTTCTTTACTAATGATCTATTTTAAATGAGATCTTCTTTTACATGCATGTACTGTATTACCAAGAGGGGAAATAATAGATCAGGTTGTGGGCTGTGTCATATGCTTGAAATCGCGTAGCTAAAATATTCGACAATACAATTGTATAATTGTTATGGCGTACTCTGTTTATTACCACAGGCTTCCTTTCATCCATGCATGTTCCTATTAAGTTCCTTACTAATTACTCTCTCCGTCCCATAATATAAGGAATTTTAACTTTTTATTTACATTGTTTAACCATTCGTATTATTTAAAAAATTTGTGCAAATATAAAAAAACGAAAAGTTGTGCTTAACGTATTTTGTATAATAAAGTAAGTTACAAATAAAATAAACAATAATTTCAAAATTTTTTAAATAAGATGAATGGTCAAACAATACAAGAAAAAGTCAAAATGGCTTATATTATGCGACGAAGGGAGTATACTCCAACCAAAAAGGCTAATTCGTGAGCAGGCACCCGCTCGCGCGATCAAGCCTCATTGCCATTTTTTATCCATTCAATGATTATGTGTTTTTCTTTCCATGGTTTGCCCGCACGCATATTTTTCTGTTTGGTCTTTACCAAATCCAAGGCCCAATCCAAAACATGAGTACGGGTTTGGAACAATTATTGAGATAGTTGTAGGATGATGCCCGTAGATCAAGTCCTCTGCTAGGCCGAGGCCGAGCAGGGATGTGTGGCTGGGAAGAAGGGAGAATGGACAAGAAGAGATGGCAACGGGTGCGTACTCATTGGGTTCTCTTGTCCCATACCCACATCCGCGATGTTTAAATATTTTCACTTAAATACCCATATCCATCGCGGGTATAAAATCGTCCCCATACCCATACCCGTGCGGGTAACGAGTATCCAACGTGTACCCATACCCATATAATTGACTTGTAGAATTTATAGTTTGGTATTGTAATTAGTCATATTAAAGTTGTAAACCATTAAAATTTTCTCTAGCAACAATGCTATTAACATTAGCGTTCAAAGGCAAACAACCAAATTATATTTGGCGTAAAATTACATTAACATTAGCATAAAATTATACAACCACATTACATAATCAAGAAATCAAATAACAATTTCATATAAGTAGACTTGAACAATGCTTAAGATGTGAAATGAGTTTTATACTATGATTTAGTAGTCGTTGAGACTTATATTGTTCATAGTTTTAGGCTCAATCAACGGGTTTTTTCACCCACGGGTTGGTGAGTACGGGTGGGTAAAGAACGGACCCATACCCATGTACTCAATGGGTAAGAGTTTTCGCCCATCAGTAGACCTATGGGTATAAGAGTTAGAACACGATTAGCTCCTAATAGAGTAAAAACCCGTCGGGTCTTGGGTTATGGGTCTCTATTGCCATCTCACAAGATCGAGAGAGAAGGGAAAAATGAAAGAAGATACAGATAAAAAGGTGTTGATGTGTGACCGGGAAGAGAAATAAGGCTTGGAGGTAAGGTGGAGGGAGGAGAGTGGAGAGTGCCGAAGACAGATCGCCTCTAAAAAATTTACTGGCTTAGTACCGGTTTATTT